CCCTACCTAGTTGATGCTCCTAGTTTGTTTGGGCCACCTCTGATAAGCAACAAATAATTGCAACATCCATGTAGATTGTTGGCACTCCATGCTCATCACAGAGCCCTTTCTCTAGAGCAGGTGGGCAGCTATGGTTCTCCTGGTGCTTTTGGACATCAGTGCTCATAATAATGGAATCACGGAGTTGCAAGGGGCCTTCTGGGCCATCCAGTCCACCCCCGCCAAGAAGCAGGAAAATCGCATTCAAAGCACCCCCAACAGATAGACATCCAGCCTCAGTTTAAAAGCCCCCATCAAAGGAGGTTCCACCACACTCCGGGGCAGAGAGTTTCACTGCTGAACAGGTCCTACAGTTAGGAAGTTCTTCCTAATGTTCAGGTGGACTCTCCTTTCCTGTAGTTTGAAGCCATTGTTTTGTGTCCTAGTCTCCAGGGTAGCAAAAAACGAGTTTGCTCCCTCCTCCCTATGACTTCTCCTCACATATTTATACATGGTCATCATGTCTCCTCTCAGCCTTCTCTTCTGCAGGCTAAACATGCCCAGCTCCTTAAGCCACTCCTGTTAGGGCTTGTTCTCCAGACCCTTGATCATTTTAGTCACCCCCACTGGACACATGCCAGCTTAGAGTCAATATCTCCCTTCAATTGCGGTGCCCAGAATTGGACACAGTGTGATTCCAGGTGTGGTCTGTCCAAGGCAGAATAGAGCATGGGGAGCATGACTTAATCTTTTACAGTTGTTTGTGCTGGCTAGGTCTGATGGAAGCTGTAGCCTAAAAACTTAAGGAGGGCCACACTTGCCCATCACTGCTATAATCTTGAACATTGTGTTGCCTTAATATAGCCCTGTTATGTGATAAAGAATTGCAGTAGTGGCCAATATATCCAATTCTACCATTAGGCTGGTAATCTGAAGGTAGTACTAGAGAATTTACATACTGTACAACCTTGTATTGTTCTGATTGCAGTTTCTTTGTTAAGTACTATTCACATTTATTTTTATTTTTATTTGTTCTAAAACATTTATTTGTTAAAACTCTGTGTTGAATTCTAGCAGTAACTCTTTATGGGTCTTGGGATGCAAAGGCTGCAGTCATAAAACGCCCAAGTCTGGGAGTGAATTACACCGAAACCAGGAAACATCTCATCTAGTTGAATGTGATTGGAAATGGAATACAAGCCATATATATCATTCTGTCTCCCCACCCCGCTTTAGACACTGCCATGGGGCTCTTTTTCCTTTTTCTCCACCTGAAGCTGTAGGCTATATTTCAGAAAAAGGAACTGGCAAAACAACCTCTGAGGACTCCTTACCTAAGAAACCCCTATGAAATTCATGGGTTGCCATCAATTGACAGATTACTTGAAGGCATACACACACACACACATACATACAACAAACCTGTATTTTCATGTTCTCTCCCCATTCCAGATTTACATCAGATATTGTATTAACCTTCCCTCATTTCCCTCTAAATCAGAGTCCATCATTTTAGGATATTCCACGTGCTGCCTTTTCTAACATTTATTTTAATTCTGAGTTCTTAAAATCAAATTCTTTTTCTGTTTGTATAGGTTACAAGAGTTGGACCTGTGCATTGTGCTAATTCATAGAGAAAGCAAACTTAAAAAGTATTCAGATTTTTAAGGTTTCTGAGCAAGGTAGCTTGCTCAGAACAATAGAAGGGCAGTCGGCCAAAAAAACCGATGAATTTGAAGGGTCAGTCCCCTTGGGTCCCTCAACAATTGTAGAAGATGAATTACATCAGGGAACACTGGGAACAAAGGCACCTGGTCTTGTGTCCAAATTTATTCTAGGGTTTGGTGAAATATGTGTCTCTGTAGCTCCATCAAAACAAAACTCAGCATTCTCCATTGCCACATTTCCTTTTATTGTTGCACATCTGCTTGTTTAGATACAAACGCACTGTATCGTGCTGAGAGAAGAATAATGCTTGCAGGGGATTAGAGAAACTCAAAGGACTTGGTGAGCCTGCAGACAACCATTTGAAAAAGATGATGCAGTGTGATAATATAAATGTTCAGACCATGTAACTTCCCATTTGGGAAGAGTGAAGGACAGGCGTTGGAAAGGGGATTAGTAAGGAACCTGAAGACACGAATTTGCAGCTTGGGAGTGATCCTAGACTCATAATTGAGCCTGGAATCCCGGATCTTGGCAGTGGCTAGGGGAGCTTTTGCACAATTAAAACTTGTGCGCCAATTGCACCCATACTTTGGGAAGTCGGACTCGGCCACAGTCTACACTCTTGTTACATCCCTATTACATTACTGCAACACACTCTACGTAGGGTTGCCTTTGAAGACTGTTCAGAAGCTTCAACTAGTCCAATGGATGGCAGCCAGGTTGCTCACCGGAGTGGCATACAGAGAGCATACAACCTGTCTGCTACGCCAGCTCCACTGGCTGCCAATCTGCTACCAAGCATAATTCAAAGTGCTGGCTTTAACCCTATAAAGCCCTGAATGGTTCTGGATCACCTTACCTGTCTGAACATATCTCCTGCTATGAACCATCGTGAAATTTAAGATTGATGAAGGAGGGCCTGCTCTCAGTCTCATCATCCTCGCAAACCTGACTGGTGGGGACGAGAGACAGGGCCTTTTCAGTGGTGGCCTCTTACCTGTGGAACTCTCTTCCCAATGATACAGATTGACCCCCTCCCTCCTGTCCTTTAGAAAGAAACTCAAAACTTCGTAATGGGACCAAGCATTCGAACAGTAGAGGTAGCAACCAAGAATGAGACCCAATTTATGTGAATGATAATGAACTGATCCGGACTATGATTTTAAACCTGCGTGATTTTAGACAATTGTTTTAGTAATTTAATGTTTTGATTGTTATTATTATTTATTACTGTTGTTGGCATTGAATGAATGCCTGTGAAGCTGCCCTGAGTCCCCCTCCGGGGGTGAGAAGGACAGGATACAGATATGCGAAATAAATAAACAAATAAGGAATCTGTAGATGGCCCCAATAACTCCCTCATTTGTCCTATCTTTCAGGCCTATACTATGTTGACAGCGAAGGGAACCGTATCTCAGGCACAGTTTTCTCAGTGGGCTCCGGCTCAGTCTATGCCTATGGGGTGATGGACCGTGGCTACTCCCACAATCTCTCAGTGGAAGAAGCCTATGATCTGGCCCGCCGTGCCATCTACCAAGCAACCTACCGTGATGCCTACTCTGGGGGCACCGTCAACCTCTACCATGTGCGCCAGGATGGCTGGATTCGTGTCTCCAGTGACGATGTGTCCAAACTCCATGAATTGTTCTGTGACAAAGCCCCAGGGACAGTGGCTTGAAATTGTGGACGCTGGGAGGAAGGGTAGCATTGAACTTGGGTCTATATTTGCTATAGAGATAAATGGGATTGTAGAACCATAAGGCACATGGGGAATGCTTGACCAAAATGATAGAAGAAAGCTGCAACCCACAGCTTGGCCATTGCAAAGGGGAAAGTTAACTGTTTTTGTGCTTGTGACCCGTGATCCATGTAATAAAAGTGTTTTGCTTCTAAATTAATCCGCTACTGTCCAAACAGTTTTTGTGTCCTCGCTTGAAGCACAAGGGTGATCAAGATAAATCTTGGCTACTCCAGTCCTATCAGAGGTGTACTGTTGGCTTTGGAGCTTTTCCAATGCAGGGCTGGCCTGGAGGGGCAAGCGGGCTGCGTGGGCGGGCACGATTCGGGCCTAGACGCTTGGGAGATAAATGTCTCTTGAAAGTTTCATTTCTAGGCAAAAATCTGTAAAGATAAAAAAGCAGAAGGTCGGCTATCCCCACAGGCACCAAAGCATACGTGTCTGTAATACTGAGGAAAGGGAGTCAAATGATTCTTAAATGGATTCCTCCTTTGCCCGACGGTTGCCACTAGTTCCCGTTGTGTGGTACCCCATGCTCCCATCCTTTTCCAATACACCTTTAGTAACACCAATCCCTACCTTTTACAGGGATCAATTTCATCTGTGCCTCTCTGTATTTACATGTTGCCTTTAACCCTTTCGAGCTCTTCTATCATGCATACACCCCTCCCTCGCTTTTTACGCACTGTTGCATTCTCCGGTTCCCACCCAATTGACGCGAAGACTGTGTGTGCAATGTATGGAACCTAATGCGAATGGAAAAGGTTACTGCCAGCTGCAGGGCAGCCGAGAGAGAAGGAACGAGGGAGGCCAAGATGGAGGTGTGGTTGGGAAGAAGAATGTGCCTGTGGTGGAGAAAGCTGAGGAAATGCCCTTTCTCCAAGCTGTGGTTCTTTATGCTCACTGAAAGGAATGAAAAAAGAGCTGCAGTAAGGGCTGAGAACAGTGAGGAAATGGGTTTTTGTACATCTGGGAAGGATCAGTAAATGGGAAAGAGGATGATAAGTGGTGCCCTTTCTCCAAGCGTGGGTCTTTGTGCTCATTGGAAAAGAATGAAAAAGAGCCATAGTAAGGGCCACAAATGGTGGGCGAAAATGGATTTTTGTACATCTGGGAAGGAAGAGTAAGCAGAAAGGGGGAAGATAAGCAAAAAGGGGTACTCCGTGTGTGCAGCAAACATAGTACATGAACCAAGGTGATGTGCAGGAATAAAATCAGGTGAGGATGATAAGAAGGCAGCCGGATAAACACTAAACATGAAGCAAAACAGCACGAATATGCAAAGGACGTTGGCTAGAGGTGCAGGAGGAGGAATGAGAAAAGGCAGCCTGCTTGTACATGTCCAGGATTGGGGGAAACTGGCATGGCCCAGGCACTCTAGGTGTCCCCTGCCGGGGCCCTGCTCAGGAATGCGTGTGCAGCCTTGGCGTGTGTTTGTGTGCGTGCAGGAGATTGGCCAATCCGGGCAAGGAAGGGGGGAGCATGGGGGTGTGGCGGTTGGCAGCAGGGTGCACATCCTCCCACTTTGCACACACACAAACGAATACACAAAGAGCTGCACCACGACCTTCCAGTATCCTTTTCCCAGGGACTGTGTGGGAGGGAGGTGGAAAAAAGGGGAGGAAGGCTGGGGAATGGGGGGCAGGGGCAGGGATGGGAGCCTTATCTTGTCTGTTAGGCCTTGCCAGGGAAATATACAAGGATAAAATGGAGGATTAGAGATGGCAGGGGGAGGATAAAAGCAAGATATACCAGACAGAAAAGACATGTACATGCCGGTATGAAGCCGCTATCTACCTTTACGTACATGGATTAGTAAAGATAGTAGAAAGGTATATACTGCAAGTGTGCAAGGATATGGCAAACGAAATATCTTGAGCAGAGATGATGGGTTTATTACCTCTCAAAGTATTTTAACTGTCCCTTAGGGCTTTATAGTGTAATGATAGCGGAAATCATTGTCTATGTTTGATAAGATGGGGGATTAAAGGTGACAGAGGGAAGATATACCAGACAAAATCAAGATGTACAGGGCAGGTATAATGCAACTTCATGCACATGGATTAGTGATGACAGTAGGAGGGTATATATATTGCAAGTGTGTAAGGATATGATAGATTGAGGAGCTTGAAAAGATATGATGGATTGAGTATCCTTTTATCTGTCCATTGGGGTTTTATAGACTGGAGGAAACAATTGTCTTATGTTTTGTTGTGAGTGAGGCTGAGAATCTAATTGGAATAAGTAATAAGTAAAGTTGGTATTCCTTCCAGGTCTATATTTTATTATGGGTGAGGTAGAGAACCTAATTGGAATAAGAAGTAATGCTGGTAGTCTTTCCAGGATACTTAACCCTGTGTACAATAATATGTGTGTGATATTACTTACGGAGGAAATGTGCAGAAGAGGATGTGTGCAGAAAAAAAAAACAAAGTGGAGAAGTGGCTGATGTGAGTATACCAACGAGGTACACAGGGATTGCTTTTACAAGCTGGGGTTTGTAGAGGTGTGTGTGCCTTTGCGTGGGAAGTTTAATCAAGGATACCTTTTTTTGGCTCAGTCTTGCTTTTGTTTGAACAAGACGACGGTGAGAGACTTCACTGGGGCTTATTCAATACCAGGCGAGGCGACATCTGCACTCACATGCATTAATCATCCTTTTGTTCACATGGCTAAATCACAGCAGCGAAAGGGTCGGTTTGGCTCTTTCCAGCTTATTTCAGTGATTTAAGAGTGCAGAAATGGCTAGTCATTCCCAATTTAAATTAACCTGGCTAGGAAAGGTTATTCTGTGTAACCTACAAGCGGAATAACACCTGCGTAGCCATGGGAACCAAGGTTCAGAGGAGTGCGGACTAACAAACTGGAGGATCTGTTTGTCCTTTTATTTGATATTTGGGCCAAGAAGCTTTTCTCAAGTTTGGGAACAGATTGCTTGAGGCTGGCAGAGTTTTAAAACGAGAATAAATAAATCCTGGATATGGTTTCTCAAGTTTCAGCGATGTAACGCTTAGCTTTTTGCAGGGAAGAGTGTTGCTGCACCTCAAATACTTAACTATAACATAAGGTTTCATTAACTAAAGCCTTATCAGATGCATGACATCTTACTCGTAATTGTATATTTACCACAACATTGCTCTGGGTAATGTTGGAATCCAGCCCCACACTGCTCAAGTCTCTAGTCCTGAATGAGCAACAAGTTAATTAGAATAGGCTGAGGGTTTTCTTTCCCCTTTCCCCTTCTCGGTGGTGGCCCCTCGGCTATGGAATGCCCTACCAGCGGACATCAGGCAGGCCCCTTCGTTACTGGCGTTTCGGAGGAGGGTGAAGACATGGCTCTTTGAACAGGCGTTCAGTTAATCATGCAATCATAACTAACTCAGGAAGACGGCATACTGAACAAGGAATGGTAGAATGACTGTGAGAACGGGATCTGATTCTATTTGAGGCGTTGATGACTATATGTGTGTTGTCTGTGATTGTCTGTTTATATATTGTCAGTGTTTTATATTTTACTGTAAACCGCATTGAGTCGCCGTAAGGCTGATAAATGCGGTATACAAAAGGAGTAAATAAATAAATAAATAAATTTGTCTTCTGTATGACAGTTGGATTGATTGATTTACAGTATTTATATTTTACCCTTCTCATCCCAAAGGGGTCTCGGAGCGGATCACAGAACACATATACAGCAAACATTCAATGGCATTATACACTGACAAAACAAATAACGTACATAGATAGAGGTGTGTATAGGCATCTTTGGCATCTTGGAGGCTGTGCTCGGTTCCGGCCACAGGGGGTGAAGTTGTTCGACTTTCCCCACCGAAGAGCTTTGTTCGTAAACTTCCTCCTTGATTGAATTACTAGTATTTTTCTGGTATTTCTTTATGGCTGCCTTAAATACTTTCCCTATTTATCTACTCACATTGCTGTTTTCGAAACTGCTACCTGGGTGGGCTTGGCTTTAGCACAGCTGGTTAATCACCAGTAGCAATAGATCTTACCAATCAAAAGGTTGGCAGTTCAAAGCCTGGGTCAGGGTGAGTACCCAACCTTCAACCCAGCTTACTGTCCACCTAAGCAGCTTGAAAACAGTTGTGAGATGTGAGTAGAGAAATTAGGCACCGCTAAAGTGGGGAGATATTTTACGGCACCATAAAGGAAATGCCAGAAAATGCCAATGATCAAAGGAAGGAAGAAGTATGTGATCAAGGGCTCTTAGTCATAGAGGATGGAGCAACAGCACCCCCTGTGGCCGGAACTGAGCACAGCTTCCAGGACGCCAAAGTTGGGAAAAATGCAGACATAATACCTCTATCGGTTGTCTGTCCTGTCTGTTTAACAGCATAGAATGTTTGCCGTACATGAATTCTAAAATCTGTCCTGAGTCCCCTTCAGGGTGAGAAGGGCGGAATATAAATGCTGTGAATACATAAATAAATAAATAAATAAATAAATAAATAAATAAATAGGCAGAAGCTGGGCTAAAGACCAGGAGCTCACCCTGACCTGGGCTTTGAACTGTCAACCTTTTGGTTGCAAGATTTACTCTAGCTGGCGGCTAACCTGCTGTGCTAAAGGCCAGGTTTCTATTTCTTCTCTCCTCTCTGATTCTGCTCTCATTCTGATTGATTGTGTAGAATGGTTACTTTTCTACCGGAAGCCTTTACTTCTGACTTCTATCTATTCTTACATCTTAGTATGCTATGTGCTTTGAGATATCTCTCTCTGCTTGTGTGTCAGAGAAATGTAGTGACTGGTGTTTTTTCCCTCTCTTTGAAACCTGAAAAGAGGTGGGTGTTAGAGTAGCTCAGACCCAGTTACTTAACTATTAAGGAATGTAGATAGTTCTTATTATTGTAAATAAACCTTTTGTGATTTCTAAGATTGGACTCTGCCTAAGCTCTAAATTCTTTACAGCCACATCTCATGGCACTTCATACTCTGCTCGCTGTGAGCTGATTGCTCAACTTTTAGTATCCTGTTTGTATTTGGGATGCTCTGCTGTATTTTGGGAGTTTTCCCTAACAAAATCTTAACAAGAAGGGTTAACTTATACTGTTTTGAATATAGTGAGGCCTCCCATGATGATAATATAGCAAAAATTAGATACTTTTCTCCATATAAAATTGAATAAACTGTTGTAGTTCAGCCTATGATTGTGTCTGATGTCAGTGGGAATGAAGGTTTTTCTGGGCTTGTGTCTGATGTCAATGGAGATTATGGTTTTCCTGGGCTTGTGTCTGATGTCAATGGGGATGATGGTTTTCCCGGGCTTGAGTTGTCAATTCCTGGCCTTATTGAAAGACCTGATTCTGGCCTTGTTGAGAGGCCCAAAGGTTCTCATGAACAGAGTGCATCTCCAGTAGATTCTCAAGGGCAAATTCCTGAAAGGGGCCCAAACCAGCATTTCTCTGAGAAACTGTCTTCTGAGGATGATTTGTCAGGTGCAGAAGTTAATGAGATTGAAGATAGAAGACATGGCTTTTGTAAACTAGGGGAAAGTTCTTAAGATCACCGAAGGTCAACCTGTCTAAGGGGAAAAGAGAGATAATAAATCTTTATCTAGTTGTAAAGGCAAACAGAACGTTTTTCTTTCGTTTCATGAGACAGGAAAGGCTTTATATGAGACAGGGAAAGGATTTCAGCTCAGTCTAGTCAATGTTGAATTTTCATGACCGTCCTATTTCCAAGTGGATTTGTAGCTTCATGTTTCAAGTTTTGCCAGGTTCCTGTTCTGGGTATTAGATCTTCATGTTGTCTTGCTCTTTTGGATTTTGCATCTTTTGATCTTGTTTTTACCTTTGTACCCTGAAGTTCATGGACTATTTGTTAGGTAAAGGTAAAGGTTTTCCCCTGACATTAAGTCCAGTCGTGTCCAACTCTGGGGGTTGGTGCTCATCTCCATTTCTAAGCCGAAGACACCTCCAAGGTCACGTGGCTGGCATGACTGCAAGGAGCACCATTACCTTCCCACGGGAACGGTACCTATTGATCTACTCACATTTGCATGTTTTTGAACTGCTAGGTTGACAGAAGCTATTTGTTACCTTTGGAATACTTACTTACTTACTTACTTATTTTATTTATTTATTTACGACATTTATATGCCACCCTTCTCACCCCGAAGGGGACTCAGAGCGGCTTACAAGGTATATATACATACAATACACTATACTATTTAGTATAGTACAATATCAGCATTAAACACTGCTATATTGTACTATACCAATTATATTGTACTATTATTAGTAATATTACATGTAATATAAATATATAATTACAATACCTTATTATTATTATTAGTAGTATTAGTATTATATTGCATTACTTACTTAGGCGATCCCTCGTTGTCTGAGTAGAATTGTCTTCCAAGATCAGTGTACTGGCGGTGGGTATGTAGGTGACTGTGAAACCCTATTCTTGATCTGCATCTTCTCTCGCACTGAGGGCATTAGTTTCCAGGTGGAAGGCGGCCCCGGTCAGGGTTGGCTTGATGTGCCTTCCTCTTGACACATTTCTTCCTTTCACCCTCCATTCATGCCTCTTCGAATTCCGCAGCACTGCTGGTCACAGCTGACCTCCAGCTAGAGCGCTCAAGAACCAGGGCTTCCCAGTTCTCAGTGGCTATTCCAGAGTTTTAAATGTTTAAATCTCTTTACCTGCCCTACCAACATTCTGTTTTCCGTTCTTGTGTTCGGAAAACCTTTGGACAATACTATTTCTATCATTTTTATTGCTTTGCTTACTTATATCCTTCAATAAACTGCTTGCTGATTTTACTATACCGATGTGGCGTTTGAGGACAGAGGTGTTCCTACAACATAAACAGAATATGGAACATAGCTCTTAGATGCATGAGTTCCACATGGAAAAATAGTGTCATTTATATTAAGATTTACCCTTTGGATTTTCAAGCGGTGGATTGTTGAATCTGTGGATCTGGAGGGCCAACTCTTGAAGTGAAATTTCACATTATTTTATTTTATTTATTTCAGGCACTTCTACCCCGCTCTTCTCAACCCCCGAGGGGGGACTCAGGGTGGCTTACAACCGGCACAATTTGATGCCAACAATTCAACAGATAAATTACACAACAGCAATAACCACAGTAGTTAAAACAATCAATTAAAACAGTAACAATTAAAAGCCAATCTAGTGGCCAACGTTCACCGAGTTCTGATATCCATAAGTCCATTCAGCATTACCATAGTCCTTTCCAATTTCTGGTTGTCATTATCTTGTCAATCTGCAAGATTACCCAAAGGCCTGGTCCCATATCCATGTTTTCAGCTTCCTTCTGAAGGAGAGAAGGGATGTTGATGACCTAATTTCCCCGAGGAGTGAATTCCACAGGCGAGGGGCCACCACCGAGAAGGCCCTGTCCCTTGTCCCCACCAGCCTCACTTGTGATAGAGGTGGGGCCGAGAGCAGGGCCTCCCCCGAA